TCAGATGGGGACTGCAGCCAAGAAATTAAAAGACGCTTGCTCCTGGGGAGGAAAGCTATGGCAAATCTAGACAGCATACTAAAAAGCAGAGACATCACCCTGCCAACAAAAGTGCGTATAGTCCAGGCCATGGTTTTCCCAGTTGCAATGTATGGCTGTGAAAGTTGGACCATAAGAAAGGCTGAGCGCCAAAGAATTGAGGCCTTTGAACTCTGGTGCTGGAGAAGACGCCTGCGAGTCCCTTGGACTGCAAGGCGTTCAAACCGGTCAGTCCTAGAAGAGATCAACCCTGACTGCTCTTTAGAAGGCCAGATCCTGAAGTTGAAACTCAAATACTTTGGCCACCTAATGAGAAGGAAAGACTCACTGGAGAAGGGCCTAATGCTGGGAAAGATTGAGGGTAATAGAAAAAGGGGACGACAGAGAATGAGATGGCTGGATGGAGTCACTGAAGCAGTAGGTGTGAACTTAAATGGACTCCAGAAGATGGTAGAGGACAGGAAGACCTGGAGGAACATTGTCCATGGGGTCGCGATGGGTCAGACACGACTTCACAATTAACAACAACAACAAATGTTAGTTAAGCTGGAGAACAGCCTAAACTGTTGACATTTCCCTCATCCACATAACAAAATGGAAACTTTATGGTAATCGTAATTTGGCTTCATTTGCTACCAAAGGATCAGTAAACCACTAAAAGGGAGTGCAATGGCTTTATTTGACCTTTCAATATAATTATATAAGCACTGCTGAGTTATAAATAGTTCTTTTGCCCTTACCACAGACAGGATACACAGGGCTGTTTGTATGTTATGAAGGAATACAATAGGAACCATTGTTCGGTGTTCTTAGCCTCCCAACTCTTTCCCAGCATTCATTTCCCAATCATTTTTTTAAAAAAGGGCGAGAAAATAGATCCGTGTGATTGATGCCTTGCCCTGCCTGTTTTTATCATGACTAAGCTATCCAGGGTATTCCTTTGCAACAAAATTTGCAAAAAGTTATACTGCACTTTTTTTAAAAAAAAAAAGACAGTAAAATGAATTGCTGTGTAAGCCATTGTTAATCCCAGTCTATTTGAATACTTCTGAGATAATAATTTTATAAAATTACAGTTTAAGAGTTAGTGGAACCATGCAGTTTAAATCCGTACATCAAATCCTTTATGAAGATTTGAGAAAGATAGATAATTTAGGAAGAAGTTATCTTGGGCCATTTTCCCACTAGGGCCCTTTTTAAAGCAGTATTTGCCAACCTTCACAGATTCCGAATAAATGGAGTTTAACTCTCCAAATTCCTCAGGCAAAAGTTCTAGGAACTGAGGCCCACTTTCCTAAACATTTCCAGTGTTGGAGAACATGGTTCTACTCCGGTGTTTCTCAACCTCAGCTACCGTGTTTCTCCAAAAATTAAGACCCACCCCGAAAATAAACCCTAGCCTGATTTTTTGGAGTGGGCCTATAGTAAGCCCTACCCCCAAAATAAGCCCGGGTGGGTGGGTGTGGCCAGCACAAGTGGCGGCAAGCGTGCGAGGGCCAATGGTGTCGGCAGTAGCCGCAGCCTGACAGCCCTAGAGTCCAGCACGGAGGCAGAGGCAGAGGAAGGCGAACGATCTACATGCACTTTTCACCCAGTGGGAAGAGTGGAAGCTTTGTCTGCTTGCAAATGGGTGGGATTCAGTGGTGGGATTCAGCTGGTTTGCACCACTTCAGCAGAACCAGTAGCTAATTTTTTGTTGCCCAGGCCCAGAATGGACTTCTGGAAGCAGCATCTACACAGAGAACCGGTTGTTCACATATTTGAATCCCGCCACTGGGCGATTGGAAACCAAGGGATTTGCCCCGTCTCCAACCCACCCCATTTGGAAGCCAATGAAGCTTCCAGGCTCCGTCATTTCCCCATCCGGGCGAATAGTGTTTGGGCGCCTATGGGACGCTTGGGGCACTCCACCCCCTCCCTCACCTGCCTCACCTTCTAGTAGTGGCATGGCGTGGTGGGCTACGCAGCCTCCTGCCACAAGGGGCTGCGAGCAGCCACAGAAGTGGGCCAGCGGCCCCGCAGGAAGTTGAAATTGACGGATTGATTGAACCTCTTTTTTTTTGCACACGGCAGCGGAGGCCTAAAGCGAAAAGGTTTTATAAAACCCAGCTGAAAGCCTAGGACTGGGGCGACGGCACGCGTGCCCACAGAGAGGGCTCTGAGTGCTGCCTCTGACACCGTGCCATAGGTTCGCCGCCACTGCTATAAGTGATAAGTCAGTGACAAGTAACAAGGCTTGAGATACCATCAAATTGCCTTGTGTTCTTCCAGGAAATTGTATCCAGCATTCACGATGATTAAAAAAAAATAATAATAAATTTAAGGGCCCAAACAAACAAAAATGGGCAAAAGAAGGAAGCTCAAAGATTTCCAAAGCAGACTGAATCTTTTTTAAAGTCAGATTCATATTGGTTTGGGGTTTTTTTTGCACAGACCAAAATACATACAGTCGTGTTTATGACCACAGGTGGGACCAGAACAGCAAAGTGGTCATAAAATGAATCACATACAATATTGCTATGCTAATTTGAGTGTTTGTTAAGCAAATCTGGTCTTCCCCACAACATTCCTTGTTGAAAGCCCCCCTGGGAGGATCACAAATGGTGATCCTGTAACCCCAGGATGCTGCAGTTGTCGAGGCCAAACTTTTGATTACGTGTTTGATGTCTGCAGTGGTCATAAATGTGAGGACTAGTCATAAGTCACTTTTTTCAGTCATAATTTTGAACAGTTGTTAAACAAATGACTGAGGTTTACCTGTTCGGAAAAATGTTGTGGGTAGCTTATCTTATTTTGATATCTCAGTTGTAAAGCCTGTGCTCCAGTTCTACCTGTTGGACTGGAAAGAAAGACTAGTAAAACATTTTAGGCTAGTAGTGCAACACCGACAGCATGAATTTATTGTCAGTGCTGCTAACATCGGATGTTCTTGCTTTGACAACGTATGGAGATGCACCCATTTTCCTTATGTTTTACTCTTAGAATTAGAGTTGGAATTAGATGATGGGGGGGGGGAGGAATGTGAATGGGAGTTAGTTAGACATAACAATATTATAATAGTGTGAGAACCAAGGTTTTTTGAAATAAGAGATGATAAGAAATGGCCGGGATGAAGAACTGGAGGGAAAGCCTGCATTTCAAACTAATTGGAGAATGTGATTTATGACTGTTAACTAGAGGAGGGAATTGTGCTTGATACTATGTGCTCAGGGGAAGGGAATTCAGATTTTGGCTTTGCCTATGTACGTGCCGATGCTATGCTGCTCGAATAAAGATTATTTAAGGTAAACAACGCCTCGAAGTTCTTGGAAGAGTTTCATCTGTCGGAACTATGACATTTATTTTTGTTTGGGGGAAACCGAAACAGAAAATGGAATTAGGAATCCCTGGTTATTGAGTACAATTCCAACTTTCTGTCGGTGCAATGTGATATCTGGAAAAGTACAGGCAGTCCTTGGCTTACAACAGTTCATTTAGTGACCATCGGCACTAAAAAAGAGTGACTTATGACCGTTTTCCACAATTGCGACCTTTGCAGCCTCCCCACAGTCACGTGATCAAAATTCAGACACTCAGCAACAGGTTCGTGTTTATGACCGTGTCCCAAGGTCACGTGATCCCCATTTGCGACCTTCTGACAGGCAAAGTCAATGGGGAAGCCAGATTCACTTAATGAACGGGTTACCACCCTATCGACTGCAGCGATTCATTTAATAACGGAGGCAAGAAAGGTCGTAAAACAGGGCAAAACTTGCTTAATAAATGTCTCACAGCAGAGAGTTTGGGCTCAATTGTGGTCGTAGGTCGGGGACTCCCTGTATATCCAACACACACACACACACACACACACACACACACACAAAATATGTTCCCACTTGGATTCAGGCACAGTCAAAGCTTACATTAACTTTACAGCACAAATGGCTAATTAGGCAATCAAAATGCCAAATATGCCTTGACAGAATCGGGCATAAGGAGGAGGCAGCAGAAGAAAACGCTGCTGTGTTACTCTTGTGGAAAATGAAAGGACTCTTATGAATTCCAGAGGGTTTTAGCAGATTTATTGCGCATGTTCAGAAGCAGTAGCAACAGGCAATTCTGAACCCCGAGGGCGGGTTCAGACTTCAGTTTTATACTTTCCTTTTCTCAGGAACAAAGGAATACACATTGAGATACCCATTGTAATACATTAGGTTCGTTTCTCACGGGTATACAATGGAGAGTTTGCTACATACATTGTATCCAAGTGCAATGCGCATTAGGTTAGTCACATTCTACTAACACAGCACTATTCCAGTAATTAGGCAGACACATCATTATTCTAGCGAGTGTTCATTATTCCACATTACTACAGTTTTAGGGACCAGTTACTTCGGAATGAGTGTATTCCTATTCCAATCGACATCCAGAGAATTGCGCATCCGCCGCCGCTTGGAGCCCTCTTCCTTTGCCTGCAAATCGAAGCGTCTCCGGGGGAACTGTCCCGGGGCTCCTGGGCCGTTGTGAGAAAGTCCCCTTGATCCCTATCAACCAGCCTGGCCTGCCATTTTTCGTTCCCGGGAGAGGCTTGACTTCCAAGCACGCGCTTCCCACGATCTTTCCCCCGGGCTTGGTGGCGCCAAGGCAACCCGCTCTTGGAAAGGGAAGCGGGGAAGAAGTTTCTGCCGGGGAGAAAAAACAGTCAAACACTTCCACGCGCCGCGCTTCAGACGTGCCTAAGCTACCGGCACCGGTGCGCGCAGGGACGAACGCCTTGCAACGTTGGGCAGGAGAGGACGAGCGCAAAAGAGGCGCGCAGCCCCGTTCCCAGCGCAGCTTGGTTCCTCCCCCCCCCCCCCAACCACCACCGCCGCCGGTCTGCTGGGCGGGACGGCCTCCCGTCCTTCCCCGCCGCTGCATTGGCAGCTGCCGTTGCCACTCCCGAGAGGCGGCGCGGCGATTGGTCGGCGGCCACGCCACGACTGGGGATTGACCCCCCCCCAAACCCCCCCGCCGCTGTCAAAGTGGATCCCGGGCTCTGCGCTGCAATGGAGAGACGGGAAGCGGAGCGGCCGGCGCGCGGGAAGGAGGAGGCAGAGGAGGCGGCGGCGGCGGAGAAGGAGGAGGAGGAGGAGCGGGGCGAAGAAGAAGGAGGAAAAGCGGCCGAGTGAGAAGCGGGGCCGTCCCGGCCGGCCAGACACCGAAGCGCCGCCGCCGTCGCCTTGGAGTCCGTGTGTGCGCGCTCCTGTCCGCCCGCTCGCCCCGCGTCAGCCATGCCCTCCACGGCGCGCTGCAGCTGATCCGAGGCGCGCAGGCCGGTGCCCTTCGGGCGCCTGCCTCCCTCCCTGCCTGCCTGCCTCTGCCTCCTGCTGCAGCCTGGCGGGGGAGGCTGAGCGCCGGCTTCGGCTCGCCGCCTGCGCCTCTCTCCGGTCCCGCAGCCGCGGCCATGCCGGCTTTCCCCTTCTAAAGATGGCGGTGGGGAATCGCTGCATCCTTTAGACTCATGACTGTCAGAAACATCGCCTCCATTTGTAATATGGTGAGCGGGCCTGGCGCCGAGAAGGGCGGCGGGTGGGCGGCCTGCGGGGGCCCCGGGCGGGCGGAGGAGGAGGAGGGAAGGGCAGGGCGGCGGGAGGACGGAGCCAGGCCCGGTGGTGCCTGCGCGGGAGCCCCCCGGAGGTCGGTCGGTCGGAAAGGAGCGTCCGGGCAACTTTACCTAACCATAGGTAGTCCTCGACTTACAACCACCGCTGAGCCCGGAATGACGGTCCTTAAGTCGTTGCTGTCATTAAGCAAGGCGGCCCCGTGCCTCTCTCCATTGTAGTCATTATGTGGGGGGGGCTGCTAAGTGGAGGGGCTACTTGTAGCAGCTGTTGTGCGTCTACAGGGGGTCCTCGTCATAACGACCACAATGGAGCCCCCCCCCAAATGTATGTTGCTGAGTGAGGCGTGTGCTAAGTGAGTTTTGCCCCATTTTGCGACTTTGTCTTGCCACCTTTGTCAAGTGTTATCGCAAGTTAGGGACACGGTTGTTAAGCGAATCTGGCTTCCCCCCCCTTGACTTGGCTTGCCAGAAGATTGCAAGAGGGGATCGCATGATCCCTGGGACCCTGTAACCAGCATAAATGTAGTAAGTCAGGTGCTGAGCGGCTGAATTTTGATCACAGGACCACGGGCCTGCGGCAACAGCCCGAAGTGTGAAAAATGCTTTTTTTCCAGTTGCAGCTTCAAACAATCACTAAGCGGAGTGTCATAAGTTGAGGACTACCTGTATTTGGGGCTGGGGGTACAGATCTGCGTCAAGGAATTGGGATGCAAAAAGGTTGCTATTCTTCATTGGTCAAATGCAAAGTTTGCCACAATATATATGTATGTAAAGTTTGCCACAATATATATGTGTGTGTGTGTGTGTGTGTGTGTGTGTGTATGTATATATATGTATGTATGTATATGTATATATATATGTGTGTTTCCTGAGGTTTTCGCGGGTGTTTGTATGTAGGTCTTTGGTTGTTCGGGTTTTCTCCCATGTAAAATTGGAAGTGTCTTGGCGATGTTTTGACGAAGTCCCATTCGTCATCTTCAGGCTGGTGTTTTCAGCTTCGTGCTTCGAGGAGCACGAAGCTGAAAACACCAGCCTGAAGATGACGAATGGGACTTCGTGGAAACGTCGTGAACTCAGTTTGGGTGGTGCTGTTTGAGCTCTTCCTCTGCTGCAGAAGGAGCTGAACCCCAGGTCAGCAATTGGAGCAAGGCAAGGAAGGGGGCTTTCACCCCTCTTCATTTTATGCAATGGCTCCAGGCAGAGTTGAGCCAAGGTATTTTTCCGTCTGCTCCCTGGTCATCAAGATGCTCTCCACCCTTCCAAGTTAGAGACTCATGAATTTGCAGCAGGATTTCCTTTTGAATGGATGAATGGAATAATGAGTTAGGGGTGGCATGACCTGTTCAGAGAAAACTTGTCCCTCTTTAATGACGTGCAGAGTTTTGAATGGTGAACAGAGTAGTGTTAGAGTGAAGCATTAATATAGAGAAAGTTGTGTTGTGATTTTAGAAACTTGCTGGCGCGTTAAAGAACTTGGATGTACAATGATGCCGCCTTTCTTTTATTTGGGAGCAACTTGACCCGCTTCCAGATATGTAGAAGACTGGATTCCCAAAATTCCACAACCAGCAGCAATTCGGTTCAATTTATTATTTTTATAAATATCTTGATGTGGTGAACATATCCTACCCCAGTGGTTCTCAACCTGTGGGTCGGGACCCCATTTGGGGTCGAACGACCATTTCACGGGGGTCGCCAAACAACGCAGTCCGCCATTTTTTCCCCCCTTTTCCTTAGCTGTGCTACTCCCTTTTATTCTATTGGCTTTTGAAAGCCAATAGAATAGACTCTCTTGAATAGAGTCTAATTCTATTGGCTTTCAAAAGCCAATAGGAATTGTCCAGGCTGTCTCTGCCCTGCTGAGCCCGCCAAAAGTCCCATTCTGCAAACGGCGCTGCACCAGTTGAGTAGTTCTCGACTTACGACCGGTTGAGTAGTCCTCGATTTACAACCGGTTGGGGGGTCGCGGCATTAAAAAGGTTGAGAACCACTGTCCTACCCGCTTGTTTCCTCTTATTTTCTCCACAACAACAATCCTGTCAAGTGAGTTGGGCCGACAAAGGTCACCCAGCCGGCTTTCGTGACTAAAGCAGGATTAGAACTCATCGTCGCCTACTTTCTAGTTGTAGTTGTAGACATTGTAGGTGTCCTGCATTAGGCCTAGCGCATAAGGAAATCTTAGTCCTTAATCCACACCTCTTGATTAGCATCACCTTGCTTTATTGATGCCCAATAACAACAAGAGAAGCCTGTGTGAATCTTTAGCAATGATATCTGGGTGTGGTAAGGCTTGTAATTTGAGGCAGCCTCTGGTCCAGAGGTCATTGCTAGGAAATGGGTACAAAACTTGCACCCTCAATCTTATAGAGATGCAACATTGGTAAAAATGGAAAATACTCGCCTGCTATCTGTAATGCAGTTGAAAAGTGTATGGTGATATGTATAATTTAAAGGGACTAATGGCATAAACATGATGGTACGTCTGGATTAGCCTCAGAACTGTTTACAAACAGGGAGCAGAAAACTGCATTCTCCTTCGGTGTTGAGCTTTTTGCGAAATAGAATTGTAATAGTGTCTGTCGCTGTGGATACGTTCACAATTACAGGCCAAGCAGACTTGTTTCAATAACAGGTTGTATGTTGGGAGTTGGTATCAGCTACCTGAACATAACTTTTGAAATCACAATCTTGATTTTACACCAAGAGTTAGTCTATTTTAGGGTTATGTTCCTTTCGTCAAAAAGTAAATTGATGCTTATATTAGGAAATTAAAATATAAGGCCAACTTTGACCTTCACAGTACATCTGAATATAATTAAATATATACTTTGGGAAGCCGAATTGTAAAAGTATTTGCATAATATTTTTCATCTAGCCTCAAACCTCTTTTCTCACAGTAATCTTATTGTTATTTTAAACAATGGTGGCTTATGGCTTGGGCAAGCAAATGTTTTTTTTTTTTTCCACTAAATAGACATCTGTTTAAATATATTATGACAGAAGCTTTCATGGACTAGGATCCATTTCATCATGTGTGTGGTTATGCTCATTTGCTGGTACACCTCTTGCTCATGTTTTTCACACACACACATGTACATGCAGGAACACGTACACACACACACACACACACACAAACTCATAGATGAGCCAGAGGGAAAAATCAGTTAAATGGCAGAAAAATCTGTCAGATTGAGTGTAAAGGCAGAGATAGGCAAAAGTACCATTACTAAAAGGAATAGATAATGCCTGCAAGCAATCCTAATATTTTGGGTAGAACAGGCATGTAGTTGTTTCGTTTGAACATAAATGGGTAGAACGCAATGTGACAACAATAAGTGAAAGTTCCTGCTCACTAATGCTGCAATTATAGTTTGGCTTCCATTTTGCTATTGTGGTTATGTCTCTGGGAATTATCCCAATCTTACAGTTTGGGGAGGGGATTACATACTTAATGTAATATAACTGATATATATTATACAATATTAATCGTATGATCAACTGAAGTACAGTAGACTCTCTAGGCTAGGCCATACAGACTTAGGATATAATACATTTGTTAGTTGTTAAGGTGTTGTCACATTACTCAAAGCCATTCAGAAATATCATGAGAGGTTTAAATAGAATTATTCCACTCAATTAACTCATCAGAGAGAAATCTGTCGTTATCACTATGGACTTTGGCATTCCAGATTTCATGGACTTTTTTGCCCAAGCTCCTGTTTTGTGTTTCTGGCTGGATAATTCTGGGAGTTGAATCCATCTATCTTAAACTTGCCGTGGTTATGAAACACTCCCTTAGTGTGATGACCTTGATCACAGATGTCCTCTCAGGGTTTTGTGTCCTTGTCGGTATATCATCAGTTGCAAACTGCATAATCCTGGTGGTTTAGTACTTCAATGTCTCTTTGGTGAGCTTAGCAGTTTGACCACTGTAAGACAGTCAACTTTCTTCTTTTGAAGCAGAAGAACAAAACTGTCTGAAATGATATAGGGTTTCCTGCCTGAGCAGGGGGTTGGAGTAGATGACCTCCAAGGTCCCTTCCAACTGTTATTATTATTATGGATCATCGCACAGTCATTATTATTATTATTATTATTATTATTATTACTATTATTATTGATCATCGCACAGTCAGCCAGATGTTCAGACTGGATTTGGCATTTTTGTCTACCTGTCAAGTCCTTACCAAGGACCTGGGATAGGCAGATGTGGATGTTTGATGGTATTACAGATATCGTCGCAGGATGGAAGCAATTCCTAGTAAGGCTGCCTTTTGCAATTGACTAATGGCAAATTTGTCAATGCCAATGGCGTTCAAGTGGTGCTCCAGTTGTTTTGGGATTGCACCCAAGGAGCCTATGACTATTGGTACTACCCTTGCTTGCTTTTGCCACAGTCTTTCTATTTCTATTTGTAGGTCTTTGTATTTTGTTATCTTCTCCAGTTCTTTCTCGTCTATTCTGCTGTCTCCAGACACTGCCATGTCCACTATCCAGACTTTTTTGTTTTTTGTATTACTACTACTACTACTACCATCATTATTAGTATTAGTATTAGTATTAGTATTAGTATTATATCTTTGAAGTGGTAGAGGGACCAAACAAGACTTCAGGACCTTCCAGAAGGCCAATAGGATATGTGTGTGCTATAAGCACACACATATATAAGGTTGCATGTATATTTGAGGGGAGATGCTGGATACTCAGAGCAAGATCCCAAGATGTAAACTCTAGGAGTAGTGCATACATTCTTCTTCTCTAGTGTAGAAAACTTTAAGACGTGTTTCCTCAGCCAGTTTGCTGGGAAGGGAATTCTGGGAACTGAATTCCAAACCTCTGCAAGTTGCTGAGATTGAGAAACACTGATGTAGTGCAGGGGTCTTCAGACTTGGCCCTTTTATGACTTGTGGACTTCAACTCCCAGAAGTCCTCAG